CCCAACATCTCTAAGCACTGCGCTTCCTGCTCCGAAATTTATAAATAGTACAACAAAGTGCATAAGGAGGTGTAAATTATCCGAAGCCTAGTGCATATTCTCTATTGGCACACTCTCCCAACTGACAAAACGGAACTAGCAACTCGGGCAACATGAAAGAGAATTGTAAATAAGCAAAGAAGACGAATATTTCCGTTTGGATGAAATTTGTCGTGTAATAAATATAAAAGTGGGGAACCTTTGTTTTGAATAAGAAGGAATCAATGGTCTCTGTTATCGCCAAATTTTCATTTTTTCTCAAAAATTTCATGATTGGTTGTTGTTCCTCACTGACTTCTATAACCACTTTCCTCTCCCATTCTATTTGGCATCACAATTTTCTGTCATAGATCAAAGAACGGATCAGAATGTCGAGCAAACGGTAGATACCTATATCGAAAATACGCTACTTCTCTTTGAAAACTCTCACTATGCACATGTGTTGAAACGCAGTTCATCAATCACTCCACCGGCAAGGACATTTGGACGTTTCCAGCTGCTGTGCTCATCACCACCACCGCTATCATTTCTGTTGGTAGGATTTGCATGCAACTAATGCATTCTTGAAAAATACCCGCTAAACGATTGCAATGATTCATACCAGCAGCTATGTAAAGTCTGCAAATGCGCAGATAATTTTAGAGCCTTAAAAAAAAAAACGTGCTAGCAATACGACCATCGTTCTTGTGAGTGATGGCAAATGTTTTCACCGAAGTTTCTCATGCACACTTCATTGCAAGCGGCGACGAACATATCGTCATGTGATGCTGTTATGCCGCACATTTTCTCCATAGTCGCCCTAGTCAATAAATCCTCATACTTTTATAATCTAAGTTATTCGACTGGAGTTCGCTTGTCAGATAAGTGACCTGATAGATGTGAGAAAAATGATAGCTGCCTACCGCTTTAAATATGTTATATATCTAAATGATAGCTTCAAATATGTTGTATATAAAAATGATAGCTTGATGAGTTCCTTTTTATGAGACACGAACACAGCGGAGCAACATCTAATGCAGTGCAGCGCCATGTACTTTGTTTGTCACTGACATCAGTGATGTAAAAAGCGTCTAGCTCATGACTAACAAAATGTCGTACTTCAGAAGTCTCTACAGATTTATCGCTTTAACTTCGGCACCTTCATCACTAAAGACGGCATATTTTTTTTACGACAGGACTAATCAGTCCACTGCTTTTAGTTTACGACTACGTTTGTCCGGGTTCCGAACTGGGTAATATATCATTGATAGCCTACCGCACCGTTCGCGTTGGTTACTGTAACGATTACTGGTATATTTCTAAGTCTAGTGGTCTTCCTGTGGCTCGGCGAGGTGTTTAAAAATCCGATTAACTTTTTTCGGACCTCATCAAGAGAATTAATTCAGCATTAATCTAATAACACCATCTCTGGAAAAGGCTGCATGTTAACGACTTCTAATTATTTCTACACTTATCGTCAAGTAGCATAATTAGGATTTTTTCCAAACATTCAAGTGCCTGTGAGATAGCTGGAGATGTATGACAATAAAAGCAACTAATATAAACTACAGCTTTTTTGAACTTCACTTAAACTTCTGAATTCTCAATTGAAAAATGGCGCCTGTATGAGTGATATAGGATTTATGCGTGCACAAAAATCAGTACGATTTTCAAGTTTAAGATGTTATCTCAGCTCGCACGAAAGATTTCTAGTCGAACTAAAGCTGTTGAGATTCTATCCGTATTTTTCAATAAAAAACTTTTTTCTCTTAATCTGCAGTAATAAAGTTTTTGTTTTCAAAGGTTAGTAAAACACTTTTTTGCCAAACTAATAATTTCGAAATTGATCGATTATTCACTAGCTTTCGTTGACCAGACACAAGATCGTTTTTACACATTATTTATTTACTCACATTAGCTAACGTTAAAGTAGTTATACTTTTTCAGAACCTGAGAAAATCAAAATGACATTCATTCTACTCATCTAAGTCTTACAGCCTCAGCGGAAAAATTCCAACACCTAAATTCAATTACACGAAACTAACCTCTCTAAAACTCACTGTTTTGTTTTTCATAAGTCTTCTACTCGATAATGCCGCACGGAGTCTCAAATGCTAAGAGCGTGCACCCGAGTGAAGTGAAAATCGGCCTGAGATATAGGGCGATGTCACGCATTATGATAATACGCTCCTCTATGAGAGTCATTCGTAGACTTTTAGAATTTATCGGATATCGGATGCATTCAAAGTGTTTTTACAGCAGACGTTTTAATTTTTGAGCAAGCGTACTAACTTTCTCAAAATCATTCCTGTTACGCTTTTGAACTCTAGCAATTCCTAGTGAAGGATTGTAGTCAACCTCGAAATTACCACTTCAGTGCTTTTTTACACGTACGCAGAGTTGCCTACTTATTTGCCTTAGAACTTACTTTTGAACTATAGTACTTCCAAGATCCGGAAACATTCAATACTTTCTAAGGGTAAACAGTTCACATTTCATAAAAAGTGAGATTTGTTAAGCAGTCTGAGCATAATTCTTAAGAATGTTAGAGCCTCAGCGAGGTTGTAACGCCAGAACCATACACTTGTTTCTTAGATCTCGTCCTCTTCATCAGTGGCTCACGCCCCAGCACTTGATTTGGGGCTAGGGCCACTGACGAAGGGGTGAGAACTCCGAAATACGTGTATGGCTCTGGCGTAGCAAGATCGCTAAGGCTTCGAACATTCTTAAGAATTATATTAAAAATTTTTATTGCGTGGTTGAAAAGCAATCTATGCTATGTATCAATTTGAGCATATATTTGAAAGATTTGAGCAGGTTGTCTCATCGGGCCACTGGTATCATCAGTATCACGATTTTTATGGTCCAAAAATTTGCATTTTGATCTCATAAAACCGTGAGCAACATAGCAGTCATGCTTTTTGAGCGTGCAGGATGTTAAAGTGGTCCCGTAATTCTTAATATTACACTACAAATATCATCGTTCACAGTATTCTCTAACTATCTCTCTCTCTCTCTCCCTCTCTCTCTGTCTGTCTGTCTCTGTCTGTCTCTCTCTCTCTCTCTCTCTCTCTCTCTCTCTCTCTCTCGTTTTCGCATTCTCACCAGTCTATATTTCCTTAGTGTTTCGTGCCAGTGACACGTTGTTTTCGAGAACCGTGCGTGCATGTGTGTCGACAAAATTTTTGCGCGGTCACTGGGCGTCGTGGCGGGCGCCTGTGAGCCAGCTTCCAGGCAGTAGATCGGTGTGGATGGAGTGAAGGGAGGAGTCCCGCGGTGGCCGTAGTGTGCGGCGACCGGGCGTCCGCGTCAAGCGTCGCGTCACCAGGGGCGTGCTGTCGGAGGGCGGCATGTCCTGGGCGGTCAAGGAGTGGTGCACGGCTCAGGTCCGAAAGGGAGCAGGCAAAAACCACCGCGCAACGCAGTGACCGGATAGCGCCCGTGAGTACCTGCACCATCGCGGCCTCTCTGATACCTTCAGACCGCCGATCGTTTTGCCCTTTTGCGCTTTGGGTTCGTGAACGGACAGATCACACCTGTTGAACGGGTTTTTCTATTTGAAAGCTCGACTAGAGGAGAGAGACTGTCCCACAATTTTCTGTTTTCAGAGAAATCATACGTTGAGGCGGCAACGTTCTCTGACTACGAGGTGGTGGCTGTTGTTTTATTGTGCCAGCATGAGAGTTTTCGAATAAACTTGACTCTGCACTCGTGAAAATAAGTGGATTCAGCTAGCAAAATATAAGCGAAGAAAACCCGCCTTCGGGTCCACTACTGTGCTAACAGGCTCCCCATCGTTTTGTATTCAGGTTTCACTCAAGTACTACTCGTATCAACTAATGTCCAACTCAAAATTGCATGCTTGACGTAAGGGTGGAGACAGAGTTATTAGGTTGGAAAGAAGGTTCTGGGACACTTATAAAAATTGCATATTTTTGCATGAATTCCAAACGAAAACAGCACCAACTATTCTTTAAAATAAAGGCCAACGAATTCTACGAGTTTTTGCCAGAGGCCCGCCAAGTTCTGAATCCGTAGTACGAATCTTTCGACTTCAAATCAAAAAACTTTTGACATGCAAAAAGTGATGGGCATTGATGTGGAATAGGCCAAAATCGGAAGGAGCGCAATCTGGATTGTAGGCGGGATGCGGCAGTACGTCGACTTCATCCAATTCATTAAACTTGTCTTCTTGGCAGTGCGCGGTCTGACATTGTCTTGCTCCATTTTTTAAACTGTTCTGAGCGGTACTGCTTTCGGGATCAAGATCACCGGCATTGAAGCGTTGAAATCAGCAGCAGATTTGCTTGTTCTGCCCTCCACTTCAATTTCGTTTATTTCATCGACTGCAGCTCGTTGTATAAGGTCTTTTCTCCATTAATGACGCAATAAAACACGAACTTTGATTATACAGCAGAATCTTACACTGATGAGTGATGTGCAAACAAGTCGTTGCGGTTGATTGCTGACAGGTTGTTTCAATTGTGATGCAAAAAGAGTGAAGGTAAAACGAGTGCTGTTAGTACAATGATCAGCACGAGTCCGCGAGAAAGCTGAAATGCGGGTTCGAATCTCGTCCGACGTTCAAAGTTTTGCACATCACTCAACAATATTGAATATGTATTGTAACGTCGTGCCATCGATAATCAGTGAAAAGAATTCTGATCGATAACGTGGAGCTTCTTACTTAAGTATATCAAGAGCTCAACCTTTCAATTGAAATAGGTGTCGGAAAATCTACGATTGTTGAGAAAGACTAGGCATTGTCGCTAATGTGAAGGCAAAATAAACGCATGGTCTTCCTTCTTTGTTGTGTCCCGACGACTCGTACCCATATTTTATGCACATGAAGTATATACTCTAAAGTAAACTTGAGCAAAATAAACACAGATTGAACAAAGTTCTTTTTATTTAACTGCTTCTAGCGGTGTTATGATGTTTCAAATAGATACCCACTGATGTAAAGCGATGTGCAAAACTTTCGCCTCAGGCGGGACTAGAACCCACACCTCACTCTTCCCGCGAATGCATGCTGTTTCCGTTACACTACTGACGCCCATTTTGCACATCGCTCTTTCTACGCTATAGCGCATCTATCTGTCAGCCGCCAGCCGTCAACGGCTTATCCCGAGTAGTCGGTCTCGACTTGAACCCAGTTATGCTGACAGATATTGGGTATTGAAGATCAAACGAAATTCTTTTTATTTAACCGCTCTACATCAGTGGCTATCTATTTGGAACGATCATAACAACGCTAGAAGCGGTTAAATAAAACGAATTTTGTTTGACCTTCAATACCCAATATCTGTCAGCATGACTGGGTTCAATGTCGAGACCGACTACCCGGGCCAGGCCGTTGACGGCTGGCGGCTGACAGATAGATGCGCTGTAGCGTAGAAAGAGCGATGTGCAAAATGGGCGTCAGTAGTGTAACGAAAACAGCATGCATTCGCGGGAAGAGTGAGGTGTGGGTTCTAGTCCCGCCTGAGGCGAAAGTTTTGCCCATCGCTCTACATCAGTGGGTATCTATTTGAAACACAGATCGATTAAGAAGAAATGAAAAGTGAAGACAACAAGAATACTTTTGTAATGGCAATGCATTCATAAAAACAATGCTTTTTCAGTCGATGAATTTGTTGACTGTTTATTTCGCTGTTGTTTCTCTATCCAGTTTTCGGAGGAGTACTGTTTCACATATATGCAAATTTCTCTCCGAGATGCCATTTGCTTTAGCTTCACGATGATATTCACGATTGGATTTGGTGACCTAATGGTATGTTAGTGGAGAAAAAACTCGATTCCAAAAAAAAAAGTTAAGCTATGTTCCTTCTCCATACATCACATTGATATTTGTGATTATATCCGTACCACTGAAGTTGACAGAATATTTTCTCCTCATGCCTTCAATAACGTTAGACTTGTATAGCATACCCAACCCTACTTCAGCCTAATGTCATTGTCGAATGAGTTGGTTGATGGATGCTGAATTTCCAAAAATTACATTTGGGCGAATAAAGCTTATATTATAAATGGATGACATAGGTCTCCACTTTTCGACGCTCCTCTCCGATCAAAACTGAGCAAAGTAAGTTGCTCGCATAATTTTTGCCCACAAACTATAGCTTCGCTGCCATATCTCTAGCGGCTTCACTGTGCAAAATGCTTTATATCGTAGAATGTGAGGCTATCAAATTAAAAGCTTCAAGAATACGGTCCTAAAGTTCACGAAATTCCGGATTTTCACAGCTTGATAAGACAGTGTCACAGTGAAAGTCGTCTACTAAAATCACTAACAATAACCATTTTGCTTGAAGAACGATTTTTAGATGAAACAACCATAGTCATTCGCATATTGATCGTATGGAGAAAAATCACATTTGTTTCAAGCCCAGCATTAATATCATCTGCTTGGTGGTTTTTATTGTCATTGGTGTTCTTCTGGTCACAATCACTATCGATTTCGTCGTTGCCGAAGTCATCAATCACGTCCACTACATGGGACGACATGTCGGCAAAGCTCGAATGATCGCCGGTAAGATCTTTAAAGTAGGTAACATTCTTTCCTCGAACATCAGCTTTTATCACTGTGGAGATTTCAGTTCTTCTAGCATTGAATCGTTTTTCGTCTTATCTCAAAGATAGCCTGCCTGTGGCAAGCCAAAAGGTAATCGTTGTTAAGTGCCGGAGAGTGTTGGAGTAGGGATGAGCATGGGGTTGGGCCTTACACGAGCCGCGACTAGCATCACGACCACTCGTCCACAGTGCCCCTCTAGTTTTTAGTAGTTAAAGTCTCTGAAGTATAATATCCGGGTGGGATTTAAGGGAATTGAATGAATCAGAGTGTAAAGCAGCCATAAGTTCGCAGCTCATGCGAAAGTTATGCATGAAAAAGATAACTTATGTTTCCTCTCTCAACTTTTAGTAAGGTCCACCCTCCGTGAACCAACTACTAAATCAAATTCATCGAACAGATATCTATCATATCCCAATAATGCTCGACTTCGACCACAGAAGCGTTTTGATCACTCTATAGTGCATATTTTTGTTAAATATGTCTAAGGAATTTGGATCTTTTGAAGGAATACAAAAGCCTAAAAGTTCTTTTTTAAAAAGGAAGTCGCAGTTGAGATCAGATATTTCATTATTATACTGCGCCAATTTTTTTCCTTTCACATTACCGGCAGTGCGACGGTTCAGCACGTGTCACCGCACAGGGTGAAATCTGGGTTCGAATCCCAGCTGACGCAAATGTTTCTGGACACTACTCTACATTACTGGGTTTATTGTGATATCCTACCACTGCAATAGGCGACCAAATAAAATAAATTCTGATTTCACATTTCCTTCAAACTACTGAATATTTTGACTTATAGTTGTGCCCAAATGAAATTATTTCATCCACATTTCTGAAATATTCTTTGACATCTTTCATGAAGCGAGTATCGATCTCATTAATTCCAACTGTTTTTTGCTCGTTATTTGCAAAGCAATCGTAGATGTCGAAGTCACAGTGTTGCAGAAGGTTAACGTCCACTAGAGTAGCTCGGGCTGAGAATTAGTGAAATATCTGTGCCTGGAAATCCACTTTAGTACGAACCATGAGAGACAGAGCGAGTCTGTGCCAGCCTTATCGTGCCAACCATTCCCTGAGGGATGCACCGTGCATTCGACCTTATCGTGCATCATGGAAGCGAATAAATTCATATCTTCCCTAAAAATGGGGGCAATATTTCACCGATGTATTCATGCAGTGTTTATACCCTAATCCAACTCCTCTATCATTTGCCGACTTGTTCGAATGTGTAGAGATCGGTGAACCTGGGGCACGGTAACGAATGATTATGATGAGCCCTTTATCCAATACGGCACACCTCTTTCCACTGAACTGCAAGCACCACAACCAACAGTAATGGAAAAATAAAGCGTCTCGTATAATAGATATGACTTACTTTGTCCTCAATAGGAAAACAGAGTCCATGATGCATTCCTGATGTTTGACAGAAAAGAATGAAGGTTTAACAATGATTATGCATTCAAGAAGGTCAAAAAAAATACCACCATAAGAAGAGATCTCCTGTCAGTGTTTTTTATTGCAATCTTAGATGGCACAATCGCTGAACGTGAACCGAGGAATTACCGGCATAGGAACTGCTAGCATTAATCAAGTACAAGCAATTGCTCGCCTCGGACTGCTCGGAAAAGTGGATTGCAAGGTTTCTTATGTTTACTGTTAAAATAAGTGCCGAATAATGGTGAATATTTCTTTTAGACACGCAATGACAATACATGCACATGCGCTTTTTCTCCATTTCTGGGGGACATGGATTTATGGACAGCGTCCCTGCATGGAGCCAGTACACCATACCGTCATCTAAAAACACTTAACGTGTGCACCTTGCACTCTCTTATCAGCTTTCGTCTTAACAACTTTTATTTATTTTTGCTCCCGTAAGAACTATGGGTACCAAGAGGACCTTGGATGCCTCTGTTGATTGTATCCCCATAAGCACAGTTGAAAATTTTCAACAAGTTGTTATCTTTCACAACTCATTGATTCGCTCAAGTAAATTCACTCTTCTTAAGAAGATAGATGGGTCATGGAAAAATCACAGAAGACACTTTACTCTATCGCTGAAGTGGTATGTGCATGGTAAGCAAGCTCCTAATTTCTATATATTACTATGGCACACCACATTGTTCCTAGCATTCAAAAGTGTTTTGCAGCTTATGGTCGCTGTCACCTATCTTTATACTTTTTCATTTCATACGACAGTTATGATTTGTAATGCGATTGAAAATGAAATATAGACGAATTATCGGTCAGGTGATTAGTCACACTCTGATTCGCCGAAAAGAATTTTTGTGATATACCAAGCGTAGAGAGCAGCTCTTCATGGGATCAACCCTAGCACACCTAGCTCTTATCACCAAAATTACCCTTGCAAAAGCTTCTCCTGTGATATTCCATCTTTCAAGAACGGCAATATCTTCTCAACGCCACTTTATCGCTTAAATTCCTTTATATCCACTGTGGCGTGCGCCAGTGCTGTCAGGTTGGAAGGAGAGTTTTGGGGCACTTTATTGAGTATGAGATAACTTTCATGCATATCATAGGAATATTTGTGTTGCTCATATAAAATTTTCACTGACGGCCCAGATATTATTCGTCTTTCTTTTCATTTTGTTAGAAGCTTCAAGATGTCCAACTATACAATCAAAGTGCGTGTATCATTGAGTCGTAACTGCAGAAAGGGTTTTCATCAGCGAACTGCAGTTGACGTAAAATCGACGAAGTTGAAAGGGAGGGCTCAAAAAGCAAATCTGCTGCTGGACCCTGGTTTTAAAGCTTCTCAATGCCGGAGATCTTGGCCTCGAAGACTCGCCTCGTTCAAAACGTCCAGCAAAGTCGAACAACGGAGATTTGATTGCTGCTTCGGAAGATGAACCGTCGGGTTCTTTGATGCGAAATAGAAGGAATGATATTCGATGAGATCTGAAACTTGGCGGACCGAAGGCGGAAGGTCATAGAGAACTATAGCCTTTATTTTGAAGAATAGTTATTATTCTTCTGTTTTGAAATCATGCATAATTTTTCAATTGTTCACAAGTGCCTCAGAATTTTCTTCCCAACCTGACATGCGACGCGACAATCGGTGCATGAAATTTCATGCATTTGATCCGTAACGTGTTGAAGTATAACAAAGTCAGTGGCACTATCTCGCTTTGCTCATTGATCACCACGGTTGAGGATACGCTGATAACCGTGAAGGAAGGACAATGTATAAGTTAAATCATAGTCAAGATGGACGAATCTTCCAGTACTTGTAACTTATTCCTGTGCCATAAATGACAGTTAATTGAATGTTAAATTTTAGAAATTACTAGTGTCACGTTGAGAATAGAATAGTCTGATGGCGATGTCGAAATTTTGCGGCGGTGGAGATTCTGAAGATACAATATATTAGTGTTCCAACTAACTATGAAGAAGGTCTCTGAAGGAGCATTCACAAGAGTGTTTGCCCACAAATTCATTGGTCTAAATTTTTATGGCGATCC